GAAACCAAATGCAGATTAGTCGGTGCTATTGTGTTCCCCACAGCAACCTATGTCTGTGAAAGTTGGACCATGAAGAAGCAAAGCAGGAGGAAAATAGACTCAATAGAGCTGTGGTGCTGGAGAAGGCTCTTCTGCATTCCTTGGAGAGCAAAGGTGACAAACAAGCAAGTACTGGAGCGCATAAAACCAGACATGTCATTGGAAGGAAAAATCATAAAACTGCGATGGACTTATTTCGGCCATGTCATGTGGAAGAACTCACTAGAAAAAGCAATCATGCTTGGATTGGTTAGCGGCAAAAGGAAACCAGGCCACCAAAGAACATGGTGGCTAGACTCCATAAAAGTCGACAGCAGCCTGAGATTGGAACGACTCAAAGAAACAGTACAAGACTGGAAAACGTGGAGAGAGCTGGCTCATAGAATCACCAAGAGTTGGACACAACTGAATGGCTAACAACAACAACAACAACAACAGAATGATGAAGTGGTAATTCCACCTTTCTGAAGCCATTACCTTATTTCTAGCAGCATTCCCAGTGGCTTTAACAAATAGGGAACATTCTGCCTGGCCAGCAAGCTGGCCAATGGTTCAACCCAAGCAATAGTGAATACTGACCTTTTACATGTGTTAAACAAGGAGAACTGTATGCAATAGTCTGCATTACGGAGAAGGTTGGAGGGTGTTCACACCCTAGAAGCACTTAGGGCACCGCCTTGGTACTATATGATAGCTAAACTATGTGTAACAGTGCTGCCAGAATACCCATATGACCTTTCTTCTCTGGACAAAAGCCAGAGCCAACAGCCCAACACGAATATCCACTTAAAGGCTCCAGAGCTCAGAGTCAAAAGGGTGGCAACAAAACTGGGAAGATTTCCAATGACCCAGCCAATCCCATGTATAAAACTGATGGCTTCAGACTCCCACCCATAGCTCATTGCCAGATGTCCCTTCAGGGACCCCAGCAAAAGAAGATGGCTTCTTTGCTTCTCTTTCCAAAGTTTCAGTTAGGTCAGTTGTGTTTCCCATGCCTTCTACCTCTCAGGAGATCCTTCCACAGTGAGATTCTCTTTCCCCAAAATGTTCTCTCCTCTCACTCCACAAGCTAACAGAAGTTAGCTACCATGAACTAACAAACTAGATCGCAACTTGAATTCAGTGAGACTTGAGACTAATTCTTGCTGAACTGTATACGAGTTATAAATGTTTTGATAACCCTTCTGTGTCATGAAATATTTCTAACTACAAATTTGGGCTGAAATTATGCAATGAGCCCCAAGTCCATATTTGATGGAAAGAGAAGAGGAGAGAAAGTTTAAATTACATCGCGGGCCATCATAATTCCCTGCAGAATAACAGTTCTCTTTACACAAAGGAGCACAACAATATTAAAATTATCAAGTTACTTGTCAGCCACTGCAGCACGTTTCTGTTCATTGTGAGACGGTTCCATTTTTACCACAAAGACTTTCAAGGGCTTAATCCTGCTCTTGCGCCTGTTAGGACAAAACTGCCCTTTGGGGTCTCCAGGCCTTTTGGCTATTCTACAGACACCCAGTGCAGGTCCTGAGTTCTTGCAATGCTCCTGGATCTGTTTATACAACAGATCAGCACCATCTCTCTTCACCACTGAAGGACAAGATCAATAGCTCACCAGAGACTCTGCCGAATTTCAGTGAACCTACGCCTTGTTCCTCCCTACACAGGAGCACCCAGATTTTTTAAAAGGAGAAAAAGGTTCATTATACAGTTTCCATAAAGTTGCATCTGCTGACACACTTCCTTGCTCTGGTACGACAAACTGACCAAAAAATAAATAAATCACCTTTTCTGAAAAGTACATGACCTCTGTCCTCCAACTTATCTTCACCTCAAGTAACCAAAACAGTTTTCCCTCTACACACCATCTGCCTCTCATCCTCAAATGCAGCACCACCGGCTACTCTGAAAAGGGGCCACACCCATTGCCAGAGGCCAGCCGCCACTTCGGTCTTTCTGGGACACTGACACAAAGCGCTCATTAAAATGCATATGGCTGGCAGCAGGTCCTGGGTATAATTAGGACATTGCCCAAGCACAGAGATCAAGGGGCGCAGGAGAGCATTCACTGGAGATGTATCTGAGCCTTTGTACACTAGCCAAGCTGTTTCAGCCCAATTAAAAGAAAGAAAGAAAAATGGGAAGAGAGCCAGATGCAATGAAACATGCACATTGAACCAAACACTCCTCTGCGATGGAGTGAGCAGCCTAGCATGACAAGCAGATGGAGTGGCCACCTCTTCCAACTCATTACAGCAAAACAATGCAACACCATCATGCCTAATACACCAGACAATGGGACACCAGCATCCTTAACTTAAGAAATTAAGCAGTACAGAAAATGCAGCATTTCCAGCAGAAACAAGAAGGAAAGTATGGATGCTTATAATGGATTATCTAGAACACGAGTGGCATTTGCACCATCAGGAACAGGGCAGGTATCTCTCAGCAGGACAAAGTCTAAAGGGGCATCAAGTCCAGGGCTAAGGTAGGTGGCATCAGGTCCAGAGTAAGATGGAAGATCATGAGCAGAAATTAAGACCAGGAAAAAGAGACTGAAGAGAAGGTTGTATGTAGGGTTGCTACGGTAAAACCATAGTTTCCACTGAATGCTAGGGTAGAATTACAGCCCTTCCAGGTTCGCCCCAAAAATGATCGTCAACACTATGATGCTCTCCCATCCCCTCCAGTCTCCCACTGAATGCAACAGGAAGAATGGATCCTGAAAAGTTCCTGGTTTTGCTAACAGATTGCTAGTAAACTGTAAAGCTGTAAAAGGTAAAAAGGATTCCTTTAAGCAGTGAAAAGCTAGTCACAGTGAGGCTGATAAAACGGAACACAGGCTATGGCAAATAAAATGCAAGTCTGTGGTCAGGCAGGCAAAAAGGGAATATGAGGAGCATATAGCAAAAAATGTAAAGACCAACAATAAAACTTTCTTCAAATACATTAGAAGCAGGAAGCTAGCCAGGGAGGCAGTGGGGCCCTTGGATGACCAAGGGGTAAAAGGAGTACTGAAGGATGATAGGGAAATGGCTGAGAAGCTAAATGCATTTTTTTGCCTCTGTCTTCACTGTGGAAGATGAGAAGTGCTTGCCCACTCCAGAACCACTGATTTTGGGAGGGGTGTTGAAAGACCTGACTCAGATTGAGGTGATGAGAGAGGAGGTCCTAAAACTGATAGACAACTTAAAAACTGATAAATCACCAGGCCCAGATGGCATACATCCAAGAGTTCTGAAACAACTCAAATGTGAACTTGTGGATCTCCTGACAAAAATATGTAATCTTTCCTTAAAATCTGCCTCCATTCCTGAGAACTGAAAGGTAGCTAATGTCACTCCCATCTTTTAAAAGGGTTCCAGAGGAGATCTGGGAAATTACAGGCCAGTCAGTCTGACATCGATACCGGGTAAATTGGTGGAAAGAAACCATTATTAAGGAAAGAATTAGTAGGCACATAGATGAACAAAACATGTTGAGGCATGGGTTCTGTATGGGAAGATCTTGTCCCACTAACCTGTTAGTGTTCTTTGAGGGGGTGAACAAACATGTGGACAAGGGGGATCCAATAGATATTGTTTACCTTGACTTCCAGAAAGCTTTTGATAAAGTTCCTCATCAAAGGCTCATAAGTAAGCTCAAAAATCATGGGATAAAAGGACAAGTCCTTTTATGGATCAAAAACTGGCTAATTAATAGAAAACAGAGAGTGAGTATAAATGGGCAATTTTCCCAGTGGAGGGTGGTAAGCAGTGGGGTACCACAGGGATCAGTACTTGGTCCACTGCTTTTTAACTTGTTCATTAATGATTTGGAGATGGGAGTAAGCAGTGAAGTGGCTAAATTTGCGGATGATACGAAGTTGTTCAGGGTGGTGAAAACCAGTGAGGATTGTGAGGCACTCCAAAGGGATCTGTCAAAGATGGGCGAGTGGGCGTCAACATGGCAAATGGGGTTCAATGTGGCCAAGTGCAAGGTGATGCACATTGGAGCCAAAAATCCTAAATATAAATACACATTGATGGGGTCTGAACTGGCAGAGACAGATCAAGAGAGAGATCTTGGAGTTGTAGTAGATAACTCACTGAAAATGTCGAGACAGTGTGTGACTGCAATAAAGAAGGCCAATGCTATGCTGGGGATTATTAGGAAGGGTATTGAAAACAGATCAGCCAATATAATAATGCCCCTATATAAATCAATGGTGAGACCTCATTTGGAATACTGTGTGCAGTTCTGGTCACCACACCTTAAAATGGATATTATAGTTTTGGAAAAAGTGCAGAAAAGGGCAACTAGAATGATAAAAGGGTTGGAACACTTTCCCTATGAGGAAAGGTTAAAGCACTTAGGGCTCTTTAGCTTGGAGAAACGACAACTGAGGGGTGACATGATTGAGGTTTATAAGATTATGCATGGGATAGAGCAGGTAGAGAAAGAGGTACTTTTCTCCCTTTCTCACAATACAAGAACTTGTGGGCACTCAAGGAAATTGCTGAGCGGTTGGGTTAGAATGGATAAAAGGAAGTACTTCTTCACCCAAAGAGTGATTAACACATGGAATTCACTGCCACAGGAAGTGGTGGCGGCGACTATAGATAGGGACTCTGGGGCAAGTGATTCTCTGTCTTCTTGGTGCTTGGGGGGGGGTCAACAGTGGGAGGGCTTCTAATGTCCTGGCCCCACTGGTAGACCTCCTGATGGTCACTGTGTATTTTTGGCCACTGTGTATTTTTGGCCACTGTGTGACAGAGTGTTGAACTGGATGGGTGTTTGGCCTGATCCAGCATCGGCGTCTCTTATGTTCTTAGGACCAGCAAGCTCAGGACAGCCAAATCAGTTCCAGCTGTGCCCCATTCCTTATCAGTCCAAAGCTGACAAGAGATTCTTGAAACATCTGCAAGGTCAGCTTCAGTGCAGACAACACACAGCAAGTCATGAACAAAACATCTTACCTGCTGCATTTTTTCCAGGTCAAGGCTGGGCCTACTGACCTTGTCTCCATAGCCTTGCCGGTGTCGTTTACAAGGCATCACTTGCTCAAAGCTGTCTCCAACACTTGTGAAGATTAAAGGCCGGGATGTTGGGGTTCGTCCAAAAGACTGGAGTCTCTTAGGAGGCGAGGCACTGAAGAGCACTGGACTAGAGCTTGCATGGAAGCCATCCGCTGCCTCTACAACAGGTCGGAAGGACATGCCACACAAGTTCTTCACTTCCTCATCACTAGAGGAAGTATTGTAGTTGTCACCACAGCAGGCAAGTCTGTTGACTTGTGACCACTTCCGTTTCTCAGCTGCAAACTCGCGGCTGATTCGTTCCAGCTCCTCTTCAGAGCTGTGACGATCAAGGCCTGTAGGAAAGTGGGCCCGCATTTTGCAGCACTGATTTTCTTGGTTCTGCAGTTGATTGTTTGCCAAGGGAGTCAAGGTGCAATTCCGTCTTCTCTCTGAGAAAATGTAAAAGAAACATCAAATTTGTCATTGTACACAAACTACACGGTTCCAGTTTCTCTTCTGTCTTCCTTCTGCTTATTAGGTACTTCACAATCATTGCTCTCTGAACTTAGATACTTGTAGAACTACCGTACCACTTATTCTCTCATGACACTTAGCATGAATACATTCCTGAAACTCACTCACACATGTCCAGAGAACTGAAGGGCTGGGCGAGAAGCAATGAAAAACTGAAGCAGGAAATAACTTCAAACTTCAAATGCCTCCAGATTTCCACATTATATTTTCAGGTATTCGAAATATAAATTAAGACTATAAAAATCTCAGCATGAGAAGTAGGTCATATGAAGAATCCAGAAACAAAATCAGACCACGGGCCATTTAGCCTAGGACCATCTACACCAACCACCAGTGATTTCAAGGTCTCAGGTCAAAGTCCCAGATCTGCCATCTTACATTCTCTAATTAAAGATAAAGGGATTGGGCAATTTCTAAATCTAAAGTATAAATAAATACATAAACAAATAAAGATGCCAGGAATTGATGGGGAGGGTTGGTGGTTCAGTGGCTGAGCAGATGATCTCAGGTTCAGTCTTCAGCATCTCCATTTAAAAAGCTTAGGTAGTAGGAGATATGAAAGTTCTCTTTCCTGAAACCCTGGAAAGCAGCTGCCAGAAATGACTGTGAAAAGATCAATGGTCCAACTCAATACAAGGCAGCTCCATGAGTACTTGAGATCTTCTACATGCACAGCTCTACCAGTGAGCTACAACCCTTCCCATTAACCTTCCACTTTATGCCGTATTCCAAATACAATGCATCATGCATACAGAAGACGACCGCAAATCTTTCAGTTCTTCAGCACAGGATCCTGTAGTCTTCTTTAAAAGAAGACCTGACTATTGTCGTTGCCTTGAGTCTTTACAAGAAAAGCGGACTAGAGATGAAGTACCAAAAGAAAGAATCACCAGGCAGATCAAGTTACTTCATGTTATACCGGTATTTGCTGACAAGAGAAAGCTAAGAGCAGCTCTCTTCTTCCCCCAACACAAGGCCTCTGTTCTTTCACCCCCAAGGTTTCCCAAGACTTTGACATGTATTGGTAATGCAGCATCCAAAGCTAGAATTATGCAAACTCAATGAATTTGCAACATTTCCCAACTTTGCATAAATACAGTTACAGAAATGAAGCTTTGTTAGAAGAAATTTGCATTGATTTTTTAATAGTGGCTCAAGTGAGGAACTTATGTTTCGCACCTTTCCCTGTATTTGAAATACAGAACACTACAAAGAGTGCCATTACCACTCTAATGGCAGAAAGTGAAGAGGACCTAAAGAGCCTTCTGCTCAGAGTAAAAGAGGAGAGCGCAAAACTGGGCTTGAAGCTCAACATCAAAAAAACTAAGATCATGGCATCCGGCCCCATCACTCCTTGGCAAATAGAAGGGGAAGTCGTGGAAGTGGTGACAGACTTCACGTTCCTGGGATCCCAGATCACCGCAGACTGTGACAGCAGCCATGAAATTAAAAGACGCCTGCTACTTGGAAGGAAAGCGATGGCGAATCTAAACAGCATGATAAAAAGTAGAGACATCTCCCTGTCAACAAAAGTCCGCATGGTCAAAGCAATGGTATTCCTAGTAGTCATGTATGGCTGCGAGAGTTGGACTATAAGGAAGGCCGAGCGCCGAAGAATAGATTCTTTTGAACTATGGTGCTGGAGAAGACTCTTGAGAGTCCCTTGGACTGCAAGAAGATCAAATCAGTCAATCCTAAAAGAAATCAACCCTGACTGTTCCCTGGAAGGCCAGATAATGAAACTGAAGCTCGAATACTTTGGCCACCAAATGAGATGGGAGCACTCACTGGAGAAGACCCTGATGCTGGGAAAGATTGAAGGTCAAAGAAGACGGGGACGGCAAAGGATGAGATGGTTGGACAGTGTCAGCGACGCAACGAACAAGAAATTGAGCCAACTTCAGAGGACAGCGGAAGACAGGAGGGCCTGGTGGGAGCTGGTCCATGGGGTCGCAAAGAGTCGGACTCGACTGTGCGACTGAACAACAACAAAGTCTCATCATGCAATCCTTCCTTCTGCACAGAAACTGATCATGGTGCAGGAAACATGTATTCCATAACACATGATGGGCACCTTGAGTGAATGTGTTTTATACCCAGGTATGCAATAGGAAGCCTCTCCCAATACTGGTAACCAACACTTGGACCCATGGCAGAAGATAAGCTAATTCCTTTGTAAACTTAGCTTTAATAAATAATATATTGCATATTACCCCCTCAACGGAAGGGAATCTCCATGCAGCTTGTAAAGCATCCCACAGGCAGAAACACCTAAATTTAATACTGACCAATACCTACAGATTCCCAGTCTGTTGGAAAGCTCATCTGAAAGTCTTGCCCAGCTGTAAAACCACATGGTGCCCTTGGGCCACACAACCACCACCTCTCAGGTTAAGCTGCCTCAGAGATGAAAAGTTACTCTATTTCATATTTATCCTTTTCAAATGTATGCCACTCTAAATCCCTTGGAAAAAAAGAGTGGGATATAGACTGATCAGCCACAGTTCTGGTCTAATTTTCACTGTCGAGGGAGTGAAGATGTTTGTGTACAACAATTTTTGGAGAGGCCATCAGAAATAAGATAAAGAACAAACAAGCAGGGGGTTACATTACTGAGTAGTTGTCCCATTGCATTTAGGGAACTTGTACAGCGGCATTTGGGATTAAGAATGATGAGAGTCCCAAGGGTCTAGGCCCAGCCCCCATAGCCTTCCACATCATCACAACAGTTTACCTCTGTCAATCTGAGCAAGTTCCTGGTTCTCTCCCTCAGAATCATCACTGTCTTCCTCATCACTTGGGGGGTAGGAAATCTGTAGGAAAGAAGCACACGGTAAGTCATTTAATACGAAACCAGAACCCTCTCCTCCCTACAACACACATCACATTGCCCTGCACATCAACCCACCCCTCAAAATGAGCATACAGATCCACAAATCACACCAAGAATACTGAATGAGTCAGCCTGTACAATGCATATCTGAAGCATTCCTGATAGGATAACCAGTCAAATCTTTGTTCAGGAAATTTCTATGCTACCACTCCAGAGAACCTGCTCGACACAGCTTTCAAGAAGATCTTCCAAAAATCTATCCTGGAAGACTTCCTCAGAAAACAAACATATGTCTGTCATAACTGGCTCATGCTGGTGGAGAGTTTTCCTGAATATTTAACCTGTTTATTTCTTCTTCAACCCAGAGATGAGGTAAGAAATTGCTCCTTTGATTCCCCTCCCACCCCATCCAAATATCCTCCTACAGTTACCGTACGAAGAAAAAGAAGAGCTGGTTTCTATCTATACCCACTTTCCCTTTGTTGAATTAAAAACTGTTCTTGCAACCTCTCTTCTTATTTGCCTTGTAAATCCTCTGTCTTTTTTGTAGGCCTTCTCTGAATCTATTCCAGTGCTGCCCAAAACCCAATATATAGCCAAAGTACTGGCAGTAGAGAATAAACTAGTCCTCTCTTCTTAGAAACCTCTCCACCAGTGCAAACAAGGCCAGTTCCTGATTTTTTTTGCTGGGGGGGGGGGGAAATCACCATGTAACCTTCCCACCCAGCCACAGGTAAGGGCACCTTCTACCTCTCCACACACACACACACAAAAGGCAGGACCTCTTATCAAGTGCCCAAGGGTGCATGAGGTAATGGCTGCTGCTACCTCTTTGGAGCATCACTAACTGCTCCAGGCTCAAACAACTGAATGGGCATCTAAACTAAAGGCTGCCCCAGAAAAACACACACACAACCAAACCAAACAAGTGACTGCTCCCAGATTCCCTTGCAGCTCAGTGACTCAGACAAATGAGGAAGTAAGCAGTGGCAACTGGGAATAGCTACTTTAACTGTTTACTTGCTTACCCAGCCATGTCTCCCTCTGGACATTGGCTGCTTCACCTTTGTCACTCACTTGTTGACAGCCACCTAGCAGCTGTGGGGAACATCACTTTTAACATCTGCAAGGGCCCAGTTCGGCTTGGGACTGCAGCATGATGAGAGGAGGTGCTCTGGCCTTGCCCTCCCATGCCATTTTCCTGAGCCAAGACAGCCTGGGGGTGGGGGAGTTATTTGTGTAACTTTGGAGCTGCAGCAGGAGCCCCTCCTCTTCACACTCTACATTCCTGAGATGAAAAACACCCCCCCCTTAAAAAAGACATTCTCCACAGCTGCTCTGTGGGAGTAGCTGTTACCCAGGGCTGCCAACCTTCAGGTGGGGCCTCGACTGGAGATCTCCCAGAATCTATATATCTAATTCCCAACTGTGCCCCCTGTGTGCGGTTATCTAAATCCGCACATCGGGGGTACCTGGGGGGCAGGGAGATTTTCCTGCACATTTGGGGTAATCCCCAGATGTGCAGAAAAATCTAAAAACTAAAAAAAAACCCTATAAGGGGGGATACTTAAATCCTCCCAAAAGTAAAGGAGCATTCCCTGCGCAGGCACAAGGAACGCTCTGAGAATGGCTTCGCCACTGCCGCCACCAGGGAGGGAGAAGGCTTGGCCAGCTGGCAGCTGTAAGCTGCTCAGCCCTCACCACCGCCCGGGGGGGAGAGAAAGTTTGGCGGGCCAAGCTCAGGCCTCGCTGCCGCTGCGGGGGGGGACTTGGTGGGCCGGCCAGGCCTTGCCACTGCCGCCGGGTGGGGGAGGGAGGGAGGGAGAAAGCTTGGTGGGCCAAGTTCAGGCCTCGCTGCCAGTGTTGGGGGGGGGGAGGGAGAAGGCTTGGAGGAGTGCGGGCCTCGCCGTGGATGCCGGGGGCAGGGGGGAAGGCTCACCTGTAGCTGCTTCCTTCTCCTCTCATGGAGCTTCTCCCCTCCCCGCGAGTATCACAGGTTCCCCTTCTTGTTACTACTGATCTCCAACTATACAGATCAGTTTCTCTAGAGAAAATGGCTGCTTTGGAGGTCCCTCCCCTCCCCAAACCCCACCCTCTCCAGGATCCACCCCCAAAATCTCCAGGCATTTCTCAGCCCAGAGTTGGCAGCACTACCATTGCCACTACTGCTCACTTGCCTGCTTCTCTCTAGGTGCTGCGGGCTGCTCCTAGCAGGACTGCCAACTGTAGCTGGAGAATTTGCTGGAGATTTGGGGGCAGTGCTCGGGCAGGGAAGAAAGCTTAGTGGAGATGGGAACCTCCAGGGGAACCAGTCCCTGTAGTCTGGAGATCAACGGTAGTTCTGGGAGGATTCCAGACCCCACCTTGAGGCTGAGCTAACCCTATCTCCTCCTAGGTTCTGGTGGCTGTGCAACCAGCAACTGAAGCATGGCAAAGAGAGGCAGAGGAGGACTACCTCACTTTCTTTACATATGTGGACATTAAGGGAAGGCTATATAACGCTGCTGCTACAGCCACGGCGGGAGGGTCAGAGATATTTTTTTCTTCTGCTTTCCCTCTTACCCCAATGACTATCTTGCAACACTAATTCATGTGTGCTTAATGCTGTCACCCAACCCTTACAGTATCATCTCTGTTGAAAGGAAATTATTAGTATACCTAGTTAACAATCTCAATTCTTGCCTACCAAGACATAAAAATAATACTAGCAGCCCTGTCAGATAAGACCAGTGGTCCATCCAGTCCAGCATCCTGTGTCACACAGCAGCCAACCAGTTGCCTTGGAGGGCTAACAAACAGGGCCTACAGGGCAAGGCCTTCTCCTGATGCTGGGCCCTAGTACTGGTATTTAGCGGTTTACTGCCTCTGAATATTGAGGTCCCCTTTACTCACCATGGTTAGTAGCCACTGGTGGACCTCTCCCTCCAGCCACAAAGCTCAAGCACTCATCAGCCTCCTAAACACACAAATCTATTGCCATAACAGCTACATTTTTGTGTGGCTTTAAACTCAAGGAGAGGGGAGAGTTATTCTACTTTTTGCTCCACTGCCCAGCATCTAAAGAGCCTGGAGGGCTTTCACACACACACACACACTCAATACCACCATGAAGCTTCTCCCCCCCCTCAACAAGGCTATGTTTTTACAGATAAATACACATCTGAGGATCCTGCCTCAGGTCCCCTAGTAGAAGAAGAAGAAGAAGAGATTAGATTTATACCCCGCCCTTCACTTGGAGTCTCAGAGCGGCTTACAAACTCCTTTCCCTTCCCCTCCCCACAACAGACACCCTGTGAGGTAGGTGGGGCTGAGAGAGCTCTGACACAACCTGCTCTTTTTCAAGGACAGCTCTGACAGAGCTTGTGACTGACCCAAGGTCACATCAGCAGGTGCAAGTGGAGGAGTGGGGAATCAAACCCGGTTTTCCCAAATTAGAGTCCGCACACTTAACCACTACACCAAACTGGCTCTCCAGTATTGTGTGGCTTGGCCCCAAGTAATGCCCAAGAAGTTCTCTGGCAACCCATTTATAAATTAATTAAAGGAGGCACAGTTCAGCATAGTGGTCAAGGAGCAAAGAAAGTTTGGTAGTAACATGTGCCCAAGACTCAGAAGACAGAAGAAAATGAAGACCAAGATTCATTATTGTCTTCTAATACCATAAACCGTGGGTATGTTTTTAACCATTTCTGGATAATATTTTAGTGTTAACCATTCTGGAAGATAAACAATATGTAAAAACTAAGGGAACAATATCTGGAGGTGTGCACAAAGAAGACCGCAGTGGAAGACATTTGCAAATCATACATTCCTTGCAGCCCTGCAGCCTTTCTGAAGTTGCCAACTTCTGTATTAGATCATCCTTTCCATCTCTCAGTATTTCCTCTGGGAGAAGCAAGACAGCACAATAGGCCTTGCTGCTAAAAAGTTTTCTCGGCAGTCTGGATTTTTGTGTGCCAGTGTCAAGTCAATGTGCATTCTTGAGCCACCACTGTGTTACTTATAAAGAAATTCAGGGCCTTTGTTCTCAGAGAGCTTCTGCTGTCCTCATTTTCCATATTCTCCCTGTTCCCCAAAGGACACAGATGGAATAATTTTTAGGACAACGTTTCAACATTAAAAATATTTTGATATTTTTAAACGAAGTCTTTGTATTTCCCTCCCCAGTACTAGCCAATACTATAATGCTCAAGAACAGAAGACCCCAGAACTCTGTTTTCCCCAACAGGCCAAATAGCACACACCCTCTCCTGGGATTATTTCAATTCAGGCAAATGAGGCAGATGGAAGGCTGAAGACATTACTACACATGTGCCACAGCTGCAACCCAAACCAAGCACCACACACATGGGAACTGAGAACTCACGTTGGACTATTACACAGAACATTGAGTGGGAATCCCGTTCCTAAGCGATGTACTCAGAAACACATAGAGCTGCCTTAAAGTTAAAGTGTTCAAGGAACCTTCCCGGGGGGGAGAACGACGAGTAAAAAACACAGCACCCAGAGGGGCATCTCACAGTGCACAAAGTCTAGATCCCAAATGACAGGCCTTCGTCATGTTGCTTTGGTCAACTGTCCTAGAGATCACTGATGAACTACCCACAGAAAAGGGCCTTTTAAAAAGTTCTGTAGAAGTGTCATTAGAAGACTCTGAAACTTATTCCTGACCTTATGAATTCCTCGTCACCCACAAAAAACCTGTGTACATTTCAAAAGCAGGAACAATAAAAACAGTGTACATGTATAAATACAAAATCTCCCTTTATTTACAAAGCATGAATAAAGGCCAGATGTGATTCACCAATAGTTAAATTTACATTTTTTTTGTGATGTTTATTTTATGACCACTGAGGAAGACTATCGTTGAAACACATCTGGTCTTTTATTCATGCTTTTTAAATAAAGGGGTATTTTATATTTATCCATGTACACTATTTTTTATTATTCCTGCTTCTGAAATGTACACAGGATTTGGGG